CCCCCTCCTTTCTCCTCCTAGATTCTTTATGCCCCAGACCCCCTCCACTCCCCTTTTTTTATTGCTTTTTTTTTTTTTTTTTGCTTCACTTTCACTTCACTTTTTTTTTTTTTTTTTTTGCTTCACTTCCTTGGCACTTTGCCAGCTCCGTCTGAAATGCCTCCTGATGGAGAACCTGGATTTGTGCACAGAACAATCTTAGCAGCAATGTCCCCCAGCTTATCTGTCTCCTCTTAATAATATTTGTGACAGACACCAGGATCTAATCACCTCCATAAACACTCATTTAACCCCACGCTGACGGACAGCCACCACAGGACATGTGATCTGTTTTGTCAAGTCCTCTTCTTTAGTCTGCTGCGTCTGATATGAATAGTAATAACCAACAGAATCCACACTTCCAGCTAAAGGCGACTGAAGTGATATGTGATGTTGATGCAATCTTATCAGAAAGGGGAAATATCTGAAAGTCACCAAATCAAGGCAACCAAAGAAGGAGAGTTTCTGTTTTTCACAGATGAGCGATGAGTAAAAAAGGTGTGTTTAACTCTCATGATTGTGAGTCATCAAATTGTGGTTTCAGTTGCGCCTGCAAATAAATCAATTTCAACGGAACACCAGGGTTGTTTGTTTGAGGTATTCAACACCTCAGAAACCTCAGGTTGTAACCCAAGGTTAATCTGAGGAGCGGACTCCTGTTTCAGTCCCATGTACAAATAAAATGTAAATAAATAAAGACCTGCTGCAGTGACTGGGCCGTGAGCTGTGGTGATCCATCTGAACATGACCAGGCAAACGCTCCGCTAACGTCTGTGCAAGTCTGTGTGTCCGTGTGGGAATGTCAGGCAGGTCTAAAAACAAACATGGCCGAGTTTATTTGAGCTACGGAGAACTGTATGTACCATGTGTGCAAGTATGTGTGTCTGTTAAGACTTCATAGCTCTGTGTGTGTGTGTGTGTACTTGTGTGTGTGTGTACTTGTGTGGAGTATCACTGAGACAGAACTGGGTCTTGGTCTGTGATGGGCAGCTGCTGTGAAGCGGGAACCTTACAGCAGGGTTAAGTAACACGAAAACACAAGGTTCAGAACAGCCAGGAACACACACACACACACACACACAGACACACACACATTTTTCACAGCTGTTTTTTGACAACTCTGCACAGACTTCCATTAATATGTATGACCTAACCACAACCTTGTCCCTAACCCTAGCCATGAATACTTAATACCCAACCCTTATCTCCACCCAACTACAACTTAACTGAACCACCGCCTTAGGAACAAGGTTCCGACTGAAGCCTGACTCAGACTGAAGTACTGGGACATTCGTGTGATTTCTCGAGAACAAAAAGATACTTTGTTTCTGAGTTGATGATAAAGAAACACGTTTGAAGAGGAAGAGGAGGAAGATCTGATTCTAGTCAAGAACAAGTTTGTCGATGTGGACCAGGACTTGGTCCACAGTAAAGGACTGCTGCTAAAAACACACACTGACTGCAGCTAACTGATTATGTAAAAACACACGGTGGACACACAGACTCCAAGAACAACGAATATGTGTTAAAAAAATAATTTAGGATCCAGTCCTAACCCTTTGAGCACACTTTTCATCTCCTGCTGGAGCCAGACTTCACCATCTGAGCCAGAACCTGTGCTGGACAAATGCCATAAGCAGCCAGTACAAATACTTCATTAATCTGACTAATCAGTCACTACGAGACACAGACTGTACATTGATATCAGGTTAAGCCTGATCTCTTCAATACAGTCATTGTGTACAAACAAGGAAATTACTGAACACCATGCGTCTATTTAAAGAGCGTTCAGGTTTTGTTAAAGGCAGACTGAGGCAACAGTTCTCCTCAAATTATGCTCGGCTGGCCCCACCCACTTTTACCTTTGCTAATGGTTGACTAATAAAGACATGAAGTAGAATGACGTAAGTGGGAACCTGGGGAGAAACCCAGAGGGATTACTGGGATTTGCTCAGCAAATCTCCTCAACAAAGGTGCCCTGCCTGACTGTATGAAATGTTAGGTGTTCAAACCTGGCTTTGTGTGAAAGTGAAACCCTAGTCACTGACAGTCGCATGGACGATGGACAGGCATTAAAAAAGCCCCCATGTACAGGTAGTCTGTCCCGCATCAAGTTCTGGAGTCTTAATTTTCATGGATTCTTTTTAACTAAAAATCTGTGCAGAATGTGACACGTTCAGGCTCAAAATGCAGGAGGAGCTGCTCTTTAGTTAGTTTATTTGTTTTTTCACATTGGTTCCACCCTGAAGAGTAGATTCTGATATGTGGATATCACACAGTAGTGTCCACATCTTGGTTTGGCGAAAACATACAAGAGTTCAGTCAGGGTCAGGTCAAATGACAAAATTTGACTATAAAAGCAGATAAAAATGGCATGTTCTGTGTGTGTGCTGCATTCAAACTTCCCTGACAGACCCTGTGTAACACTAAACCCCTGACAGCCTGGCCCTCATGCCTGAAATTCCAAGACTAACAGCACTGCATGGTAACAGCAAACTTGGCCTTGGCTTGGTGGGCCTTCCTTATGGCTCTTTGCTGGACTGTATCACATAGCAGAACCTGAGAAGCCCTGGCAAAATCTGGTCTGTATGGTCATCACCCATAGGACCAGTCCCTAGGGGTCAGGGTGCGTGCTAATCTCTGACCTCTGACCTTCTGTGCCTTTCTTTTTTACAACACTCCATATGTCTTTTAGCTCTGTCTGCAGCAGCTCTCCTGAACTCAGTGAAACCCAGTGATTATGTAATCTCCAGTGGCATGAGCAGCAACCTTGGCAGTTACCTGCATGACCCCAGGGACCCTGCCAAGGTTTACATAACAAACAGCAAATGGGGCAAACAGGGCAATAGCTCTGTGGCTGTGGCAGCATGGCTGAAAAGGCCCGGCTGTTAGGGCTGCCTGTGTTTCCCCTTCCTGTCTCGTCTGCTGAGTGGAGTTAGTGTCATCACACTCACCTGTGTCGCTGATTAGTCTCACTCGTGTCACCTGGTGCCCTGGGTATATAAACCTCCCACACTCATTGTGCTGTTTTGTTCAGTAGCTGTTGTGTGTGTTGTACCTGTTTGCTAGGTAGTTTTTGCCTTGTCCTGTTTTGTTAATTTGCACTTTGTGAATAACGCTGCTCTCCTGGTATGGCATTTGGGTCCTGCCTGCTTCCCATGATGTCCACACTTAACACAGGCTTTATAGAAATCTACAACCTAGACAGGTGTGCACATGCACATGAAGGAGCTAGTGGTACAGGTCACACTGAACCATCATCCCTGTCCCAGTTTGAAGGATTCAGTACTCTTTATGTCACATACATGTTGTACTTCTCTACTATATGTACTACATCCTCTGTCGTTTGTGTGTAGTATTTTTAACTATTGTTTGTTTTTAACTATTGTAACATCTATTGTTTCCATTGACAATGATGATGATGTAGCTCTTTGTTTATGGAGGAGGCTAACTGTATTTCTGCTACATCCAGAATAAATCCATGTTGAGGTAACAGTGGAGAATATGGAGTCATCCAGAGAGATGAGTGGAGGACTGATTTACTAAGAAAACTAAGATAAATGTCCTACTAACTAAAGGTCTCTGATTTGAATGAGTCAAACATGTTGAGACATGTCCCTCAGCTGTGTCCAACAGCCACGACATGTTAGATCACCGCATCCTTGTCAAGTGTTGAGTAGTTTTATTGAACATGCTTTTTTAAATTATAAATATTTCCAACCAAACTTGGACAGAAAGCAGTGAAAAAGATTAAAGTTTGAAAAGTGTTTTCAGATCTAGCTCTGTGGGATTTTTCCCCCTTTCTCATGACTGAAAGGAAGCAGATTTCTATCATGAGACAAGGCAGAAAAGCAGGTTGGGACCTGATGAGAAAGACACCTCTCTCCCCCTGAAATTCTGCAAAAAAAAGAAATTCCCAGATGAAAGCTGTTTAGACTGAAATGGAAGTTCTGTTGCTCTCAAAATAAAAAAAATAAAGTTTTTCTCAGAACTTTTTAACTTACTTTGACAATTATAGCTTTTCTAGTTCACTCCTCTCTTTAAGAAGTTGGATTTGATTTATTAACATGTTTTTGGGGAAGTCCATATTTTGGGCTCGACTTGGTTCTAGCCCATGTCATGTAAAGTCACGTCCTCATTCAGTGCAAGGAGACTAAGTGGATTTAATGGTAAAGGTTATTTTGCTTGCATTTGGAAAGGCTGCGTTGGGATTAGCTGCTGTTCAGTAAACTGTCTTATGTAACTGCCTCTCTCTGTGAACATCTTAAACCAGGTTGCGTCACTCAAACTGGGCCAGTGTGTTTCCTGACAAACCGGTTACAACGCTTCTGTTTGCTCTAATTCCAAACATGTGACTGCAGCTGTGGCCTCAGAGGAATATTGTGTGCAAGTCATCAGGAGTCGAGGAGGCAAAACCAAATACAATGGCCACTCATCTGACATGAACTGGGGGAAGTCGAAATGTTCGGAGATATGTCGGGGTTTTTTTTTTTTCACAAAATTATTATACAAAGATACAAAGGCCAGTTCTCTGTTTATTCCTCTGTGAGTCGAAACTACTCAGCGTCAACCAGTCATGCACAGCGTGGTCTATTTTTGCATGATTCAGTCAATTTAAAAAAAAAAAACGTTTTCAATGAATGTCCCCAAACATTATGCTGATGAAGGAGAGTAATGGTCTCAAATGACCCCTGTTGTGATCATTTTCCCTCACGTTGACAACGTTTTCAGACTGGCATGTAATCTCCCTGAGGGATGATAACGAGAGCTTTAATGAGAGCCAGGCTTTTTAAATGAAAGCTCATAAAAACGGGCCTGCAGTGGCATGGATGGATGTGCAGGAGTGTGTGTGTGTGTGTGCAGGAGTGTGTGTGTGTGTGCAGGCTGATGTGAGTTTGTATACAACAAGCCACATGCGTTTTGTTTTTGTTTTGATGAGGGGGGGGGGGGGCTGTTCTTACCTTCCAGCCTGCGGAGCTGTTGCTGTCGCCTTTGTCTTTGAAGTACGGGATGTTTCGCACCATCCAGTCGTAAATTTGGGACAGTGTCAGTCTCTGCTCTGGTGAGCTCTCGATGGCTTTGGTAATCAGGTCTGCGTACGACTGGTTCCCCCATGCGTTCCGACGGGACGACGCCTTCCTCGGGGTCTGCTGAGCGGCCAGGCTGCTGGGAGTCAGTGCGCCTATGGTGGCCGGCGGAGAGTGCGAGGAGCGCGGGGAGCCTCCGCTCTCCTGGCCGGGAGAGGACAGCGAGCCGTCCGCAGCGCCGGGGCTGTTGCTGCTCTGGTCCTCGATCGCCACACCGGAGCCGTCGATGCCGACCGTAGGGGTGGTGGCACCGTCCTCTTCATCGTCCTCCTCCTCGGGGATTATATCGGTGTCGTTGCTCTCCGGTTTCGCGGAGCTCGACTCAGGTCGCGGCAGCGGCCAGGTGCACGACCTCGGCCGCTTCTGGGGCTCGAAGTCCGGGTCGATGGCCACGTCCAAGTCCGCCACTGGGTCGGCCAGCGCAGCCCGAGCCATGGTGCCCTGCTGCAGTCACGCACGCTTAGGCTGCTTCGATTATCGACTGAAGTTAACAGACAAGAAAGGAATAGCTGTCAAAGTCGCGTCCCATGAATGCGCGCTGCCTTCCTTTGTTGCTATTCCACAGCAGCAGCGACGTCCCAGCCGAGTTATTGCTATAAACAGCTGTAAAACACACACACACACACACGCGCGCGTTAGAGCAATAAGAAAACCCAAAGACTATGTTGTAGCCGAAGTAAAACGCAACATAACGGGCAAAGCAGGCGAAAGCTGAGTGAACTGGAACCTGTGACTGTCAACAGCAACAAAGTCCTAAAGGAATAAGAAAACTCAGCGTCATGTCTTTAGAATAAAGGACAAAAGCAGTTGTGCTGCAAAGACGCGAGTCTTTATCTTTACAAGGTGAATCAATGAAGGAGAAAATACTCCAGTCTCATCAATGAAGGCACACAAATCCCCGTCAAATCACTTCAAATCAGATTACCTTGCACAAATCGTCCGATTGCCAGAGATAAAAACAGAATGAAGGAACTAGAATAGTGACGCTCCAGAGCTCGTCCCCGGTTCCATCCTGACTTTGTCCCTCACTCTTTCTCTTTCACTGCTCCAGTGCGCACAACGGCCATGCAGAGACACAGTAAGTAAGTCGGTGTCAATGTGGAATAAGGCTGCCACCTCACTGTGCACGGGTTACTACTGTACACACATACGCATGCACGCGTACACGCACGCGCACACGCTCACTCTAAGGGCCGCCCCCCTGGATCGTGCGCGGTATCGCCTTTTAAAGAGACACTGCTGCAGCCTGTGTCCGTGCGCATGCAGGAGGAGACGAGGACACGTCCTGACTTGTTACTGAAGTGTGCACCACACTGCACTGTGAGACAGAAGACAAGTCCTGCCATAAAGTGTGATGGTAACACCATTTACCAGGTGGAAAATTCTCTGGTACTGAAACTTCATTAATTTATCAGTCAAGAAACTTTTAGTGTTAGGCTAACGTCATCAACTGATGTAAAATAACCAAGTGAGCCAAACAGTGGAACAGTGGTTCCCAAACTGTGGAGTGTGTCAACCTGTGGGGCACAGAGCTAACACTGCAGTCCAACAAGGCAAATGCATTGAAATTTCAATACTTTGGACCTGGACACATACTGTGTACTGTAAACTAACAATATACTCCCATGCTACTGTATGTCCTGTTACTGTTGGCCGGATTTACTTCAGTTTGACATATTGATCAGTTCATCATCTGAGTGAAGCCTGGCTGTGCCTTTAATCACTGATCCAGGCTGTCAATCATCCCTGGTCGAGCCCATAAGCCACGCCCCCGGTAGTCCAAGGTGATCTCATCGTCATTTATTAGCCAGAGAGAGAGAGAGAGAGAAGGGGGGAGAGAGGGAGAGAAATACTAGACTGTTCTCCATCCTGTAAGAAGGGGGCCGGACCTCCTGCACCACCTCCTCCTCCTCCACCTCCTCCACCTCCCCTGGATGAAAACAACCTCTGTCCACGTCTTCTTTGTTCTGTCGCGCACACAGAGTGCAGTGCAAGGTGCGCGTCCATGTACGCGCTCTCGTCTTTGTGTGTAGGAATGCACGATCTCAGCTGACCGTGACAAAAAAAATTAACCTTCTGAATTACTGCATTACAGCATCATGGACACGTCGGTACACCGTGGTTTCTGTGGACACATTACAAAACGTACTACTGCTGTCATCATGTGGTTTTTTCCCTGTGCTCGTACTGGGAACGTATGTTTTGCACCACAGTGTATTTTGCACCTCTGTGTTTCGGGGCTTCATCTGCCCAGGTGCTGCTCCTGTCCTATTTCACACTTAGTTGGCAAACAAATGCACAAAACATTAAACACAAAAAAGGCTAAATACAATTTTATGGCCATTTTAAATATTATATATATATATATATATATATATATATATATATATATATTGTGTAAATCATAAGCACAATCGCAGTAACTGATTTAGTTTAGCACTGGAAATACTGCAAAGTAACTGCAGACAGTTAAGGTTGAAAAGTAACCTAAGAACCCAGGTTCAACTTGGCTACTAAAAAAAGCAAAATGTTTATTTGGAAATAGAAATTAAATAAATATAGGGGAAAAATAGAACTTAACCAATACTGGCTAAACGTTTGCCAAGGGACTGACATGGAATTAGCTATGAACTGCTAAAAGCTAAGGATGGAGACAGGTGTGTGTAAGATAAGAAAAAAGAGAAGTTACCTCACAGTTTAGTGGATAAAATATAGCTGAGAAAAGGCTACAATGATGTCCAGAAGTCCATAAAATATAAGTCAAGATTATCTAAGTGCCCTGAATGGTCCATGAGCCAGATGTTGAACATGCCTTCTGAAACCTAATTCAGTGAGTGGCATCTAATCAGAGGGACTGTCACAGTGTGTTACACTCATTTACAGCAGCAGTGTGCAGCCCGTACTGTACAGAACAGAACAGAGTCTAGACACACACTGTGTGTGATGCCTTTGTTTCCTTAACATCAAAGATAAAACCTGATTCAGCAGTTTGGCTCCTGCAGAGAGGAGTTAACTTCACAGCGGAGTCAGAGGGCGAGTTAGTCGGTACTGTATGTACGTGCAGATAAACTTTAAATGTTTGCTCTTTTTGGTAAAAAAAAAATCTGCATTTTTACTCAATTAAAATGATCTGTGTCTTTTATTTACTCAAATGGCTTGAGGTATTTGCAACCACCAACAGAAGGGCAGGTAAATGGCCAGTCATTACATGTAAATAGCCGTGCCATGTGCTGATTAGTGACACGTGGAAAAATGTTTCCCATTTCTATCTATGGCAGCAGCAGGGTGCAGTATCACTGTGGCGTACGGCCAGTGCCCTGTGTGCAAAGATAAACCAGCTTCACCTTACTCTGAAGGCCATATTTAGGTTGCACAAGAGCTCACACACACCAACTCACACACACTCACACAGAATGTCAGATATGGTAGTCATGTGTACAGAGCTGGGCTAACAAATGCAGTGAATTAAAAAGGTTGCACATCTAAAGAAGTCATTTTAAAAAACATTAATTAGCCACAGGTTGTTGTTTTGTGTTTGTTAGACTTTTTGGAGGACAACTCACCCACAAAACATCAGTAGAGAAGCAGTTTTGTAAATGGAATATTTACCAAGTCTTAACAACAAAAAAAAAAAGACAAATCTGGTCCTGAGTGAGAATGAGTTTGACACCATTGTACGGCACTGTAAGAAGAATTTTTATAAAAACTCATCATAGATTAGTTTGTCCATTCACCGTCCCTGGAGGTTAATGGGATTAAAGATTTATTCCAGGGATTATGAAGCAGCTCCAATGACCTGGACTGTCTAAGAGAATGGACATGGATGAGATGATGGAGCTGCTGCTGACGGTGGGAGAGAGGGAGGGCTGCTCTGGACTGGAGTGCTGCACTAGGATGACCTCATCCTCACATGAACACGAAACAAGAAGTGCAGTCAACGCTTATCCTCTGCTGCCATCTACAGGCAAACGTGGAGAAGTTACAAAATATTAAACAGGACGTAAATCTCCGTCAGCTTGAAAAAAATACGAACGTGGAGAAGTTACAAAATATTAAACGACGTAAATTTCCGTCAGCTTGAAAAAATTTATTATTATTATAAATTTATTATTTATTATTGTTATTTTTATTATTGGATGATTTATATATCACTACTGTGCAGGCTACTGTAAAAAACAATCAATTAATTGTCTCATAAATGAATGTCTTATCCTAGTTGGGACAATATCAAATGGTAGACGATGCAACAGCTGACAATCCATTAGGTTGAGTATTGTTTCAAGAAAGACACCTGCTGATACAGTTCCAAGTTACAGATTTCATTTAAGTCCTTCTACTTTGATGTTATCCACTACGTGTCCAATTCCTTCTAATGTCTGTCCATCAAAGTGAATAACCTCGGACAATTTATATTATATTTATATTATATATATTAATAACAAAAGCAGCTTCAATAACATTTTCTCCTCTTGCAATGACCGCAGGAGGGCGGTAGACAACTGTTAGGAAACACCGCCTAATAACCCTTGATATAATCACCCGTTAAACTTTGAAATATAAGTTTCTTATACTATATATAATGAATGTATCCAGGCATAAAAGACCAAACAGATACAAGGAATAGAATTGAGTATTTAGATTTTTAACATGTGTGGGCACCAGTCCTTTCTGGAAAATATTAGTATAATAATAGAGTAAATTATAGCTTGTTCCCCAGAGTAGACTTGTTCTTTCCTGTTTTCTGCTAAACAGCAGATTTGACGTGTGCAGCGTCAGTAGTTAGTGAAGTACAGCGTTGTGTGAAGGTGTGTAATTATCCCAACAGTCAGGATTAGATGTCAAGTGTTGATGTGTGATTTGAGCGACGACGACGGTGGTCTCCCTCCATCCAGTATGCTTCTGTTTGCATCTCCACTAGTCTGGACACAGTCCTCTGGAAGGCAAAGATCTCCTCCTCAGCTGTGAACAGAGTCAGACGCTCTGCTGCCTCCTGAACAGAGGAGAGGAGTCGGGGGAGAGGAATAGGCAGGAAAAAAAACATTTTTTTGTGTTCATGAGTTAAAAAACATGACATGGTTAACTGTGTTCTGAGCCAGTTTGGTCTGACCTCACTGAGGCCCAGGTCATCCAGCAGCTGTCGGTCCCTCTGGTCTTCACCTCCAGAGTGAAGGAAGAGTCTCTGTAGAGGAGCAGCTGCCAGCAGCACCACTCTCACCTGGGGCAGATCAGTCAGGTTCAATGATTGACAGCCAGAGTGTTGTGATCAGTAAGAGTTAAATAAGAACAGTCGAGGAGTCGCTCATCTATTGTTTGTTCATTTCAAACAAACTACCTTTTTGTCGTAGAAGTTGTCTATGAGGTTGATGAAGCGTCTGGCCTGGTCCTTCACTGTCACTGTCAGCACCGGCACGTGGCGAATGAACACGGTGTCAAAGAACCGAGCAATCTCAAGGTAGTCACTGGACCCCAGGGGCTGCAAAACACGACAAACAAACAAGTTATTTTTCTTGTTTTATTTTTTTTAATTAAACCTGAGCCTCAACTCCTCAACAGCACATTATGGTGAAGTAGTTTCTACAGAAAACACAGCAGCTTCATAATAACACACGGACACATGCAGTGCCAATATTGAAATTTTTTAATTCAGTTTAATACATAAAAGCCAGCAGTACAATAAGGACACTGTCTACAAAAGATTGAGGCTGATGTGATTTTAGTCCCTGTCCTTGGTTCTGTGCCATTCAGCATGATTGCTCTTAAAAGTGATGTGGCGGTGCTAACATACTGCATGTCAGAGGAGCCTTGAGACGGGCCAGTCTGCAAATGCTCAGTGAAGACGAGACTTTGCACAAACTGTAGATCACTGTACCGCACTGCTTCATCTGAGGCACAGTGGACTCTACTATTCACAACGTTGTCAATAGACATGCTTTTTGACATTGAGCGGAGGATGGTGGTGGTGGTGGTGGTGGAGGGGGGCAGAAGGTAGAGGCAATAAAAGGGTAGGAGTGTTGCTTTGAATTAAAGCAGCTTTGATAAGTGATAAGTGGATGTTGTGTGTGTGTGTGTGCAATTGTTTGCATAGCTCTTTTAGGACCTTTTTCCTAGTGTACACAGTGATCCCTGTGAGGTCTGTCTGTCTGTACATCCAGAGTTCTTCCTAAAATAACTGCCAACATACGTGAGTGTGTTTGTGTTTAAAGGTGTGTGCACGTCTGGCCCTTCAAGTCTGAATCAGGACCAACACCGTGTTCTAACAAAGTAGAACTACACTTTTTCAGGTTTTTGGGCAAACTTTGGACTTATGTACGTTTAATGTGAGGGTTAGGCATTTACTTTAGCACACTGCAGCTACTGATTCCCCCGTGGGGTTGATTCAGTTACCCTGAAGGCTGAAACACTCACTCTGACACAGAGCTCCTCAAATGAACAGTCTGCTATGGAGCCAGAGGTCTTCTTCAGAATCACATCTCTGCCCAGCACTGACAGGACCTTAGGACCTACTGCTGCACAAACACAGACAGGTGGTTGGTTACGGACACACTGCATATCTGTCAAATATACAGCACATATATATATATATATATATCACAAACGAGACCTGGAGAAATGTTTTCTGATCAAGGTCTGCCACTAAAACCTTTCATTTACTGGCGTGTGTGGTATTTTCTGAATACATTCCAATCACGTTTTACCTGTATGTGTTATTACAGATCATGGTCTCCTTAAAGGGGATTTCAGTATAAAAAGCATGTTTAATGTTTGTTGGTGAATTGGACACATTTTCTTAGGATGTTTGTTTTATCTTTTAAATTTTCTTACTGCATTTTTGTGTCAAAGCCAGCTCCTCAAACAGGTTGTCCATAAAAGCCTCGGCACCAGGCTCCTCCGTGCTACACACACACACAGACACACACAGAGGAATCAATAATAGGATATGAAATTAATAACACTGAAGTGGCCATATCAAACAGTGACATTAAGATGAGCTGAGGGGGGGGGGGGGGGGGGGGGTACTTAGTTTTTCACTCTGTTGGTGAAAAATAGCCTCTAAACACGAGCATTAGCCTGTGAGTGCACGTCAAAATGAGATTTTAAAGTGTGTGTTTGTGTGCTTGTGTTTTAACTCCAGGTAAAATGGTGTGATGTGCTCTATTTACATGCAGTGAAAAGACGGAAGCACTTGAAAGCTTCAATACACCAATGATCAGCAGCAGCAGCAGCAGCAGCAGCAGCAGCAGCAGCAGCAGGGTTTATTCATGCTGCTCTTGCCTCTGTGTGTGAGCCTGTAGGTAAAAAGTAAAAAGGCAGCCAAACAAGGACACAGAGAAAAGGTGCGTGGCTTCTGAAGCTCTTTTTCCTTTTCATATTTTCTAAATCTCTAAGTTTAATTTAGGTGAAAATTTTTTTGAAATGAAAATCTATATAAAAGGAAGACTTGTTTGTTATTCACAACAGGACGGCTGCAATATGAACTCAACAGCACAGAATACTGGTCATTGTATTTACATTAAGGGACAGTTTGGGGGAAATTTCACCAATGTCGTTTACAGTAAAAGGTCTTACAGGAAGTAAAGTTTCCCTGATGGAGTCTTAACCAGCATCCTGTAGTCAGTCCCATTGTTCAGACTGATGGTGTAGCAGTGTTCCTGTGTGTAAGAAAAAACAAAACACACAGATTTACATTAGCAATCGAAGAAAAAGGAAAGATAAATTCATGGAATATCTTTTTTATGAATCCATATTGTGCTGATCTATTGATCTACTTTCATGTAGCTTTTATCCCCAGGTCAAAAGCAGGTGTTGTTGTTTTTTTGTTTGTTTTTCAAATAGAAAAAATGGTAGTGTATTATTATTGACCATTAGGATGAGATAATTATTGTTACTGGTTGAAAGGAATCTGTATCCTGCATCCCTTATTGTTATATTGAACACTTCAATCCTCAGAGTTATGCATACAAAAGTTCTAACTTAATAAATGGACCAACAGCTCAGACATTGTACTCTCATCTGACAGCTGTAGGATTTAGTGTGAGTTCTTCCTAGTTTATTGAAATGATCTATTGTTCCTGGAGCCGTTCAAAGTTCAGTCTTTCCCATGTAGTGTAAAACGTCAACAGGATTCATGTCAGGGAGTGCAGCGCAAACTATAATCATCTCTGCCGTTCCATCAGAGAAAAGAAAAGAATTGCATATCATCCCATCCAAGCCATCACCTAGCTGAGCTGAGTATTTCAACGACAGCTCCAGTAAATTATGAAATCAGTGAATTTCTGCCACTGGCCCTCTTAAGCTGCCAGATAATTAGTAATCATCACAAAGCAAGGGGACGGAAATACTCTATTCTTCTCTGCTGTCAACTTTTTATCTCCGTGTCCGCTCACACAAACGGGTTCCCACTCTGAGCCAATTGGCTGAATCAGGCTTAATAACAACCTGACAAACTCGCCCTCCCCCACGCACAAAAGGGAGGTGTCATTTCATCAACCTACTGTGACCCCAGCAACGGGTAAATAGTCCCTCCAAAAAGGGGAAAATAAGAAAAGAAAAAACTTGTCACTATCGCCGCCACATCATTAGAGTCTCACTTTGTCCTTTTCTCCTGCCATCTTCTGTTCTCTTCTTTTGTGAGCCATCTCTACCTACGGTGGAGTCTGCTGATGTGTTTCTTGGTGGAGAAGAAGAGTGAAAGTAAGAGAGGGGGGACGAGAGGAGGAATGGAAACACAATCAGTGATGATGATTCCTTCGGTTATTTATAATCAGATGAGGCTGAAGCCTCGTGGGTCATTACTTGATTATCCATCTTGAGGGGATTGTCAAGTTCTCACTCCTCCAAGATTTCATCCGCCCACACATTGTGGTCCTTTACTCGCGCTGCTCCCCCGCCCCCTTCTCCTCATCCAAACTCCAAAACCCAGACTGTCTACTTTGCAACTTTTAAGTCTCATCTGCTTGCAACGGCCCTTTTGAATGCAGCTGTTTACAACACAGTCAGTGTAAGACCAGCCACAGTAGTTGTTAACCAGTGCAGTGTCCTTAACCTAAGACAAGTGATGCTTCTAAAAAGACTATTTAATCAATTTTAGAAGAGCTGAATCTCTTTTTCTAAATCTGTAGCCCTTCATTTCTTGACCAGACTTTTAACCAGAATAAAAAGGGAGAATACACAACCCCCTGAACTCTCCTGTCTGAATTGGGCCATTGTCTTATTATTAAATATTGTCTCCATGGGTAGAAAAACGGGTTCTTTTCCTTCCTTATACTCTTTAGGATCTTTGACTGAGATTTTTTTGAAATGTGCTCAAACACATTGTGCACAGTACAAATACTAAACAAAACTTCGTCATTAGGCAGGCCTCATTATGGGCTATTTGTGCTGTAGCGGTGAAAAGTAGTCCCAAGTGTAGCTGACACAAGGGAGAGCAAGATGACAGACATGAGAATCAGGGTCTGAACAGAAGAAAGTCACCCAAACACATGTAGCTCCAATCGTGCCTTTGTCCCAGTTGTCCACTGCTCTCTCTGGACAGCTGTTTAGCATAAAAACAGAGTGGCTTTTTGGGGGGAGCGGGGGGCTCGGCCTCTACTCCCCTCTGTGCCTGCTCCCTTTATGACATATCTTTCTCTATCCTTTACTCCTCAAAAGTTGCTTTTGAGTTTTTCAAAGAGCGTGGTGCCATTGAGCTGCAACAAAAGCCAAGGATAGCTGACTATTGGGCCTTGATGAGGTCCACTCCCTCATTACCCAGCAGCAGAAAACATTTGATGCTTTTTTGTTTGGCCTGGAGAATTGACCAGGCCTCAAAGAAATGTAGGGTGGGAAGGCTGAAAAAGAGACAAGGGGGGGAGAGAAAGAGGGAGAGAGAAAAAGAGGGAGAGAGTGGATGTCGTTCATTCAACCATGGGTGTCTTACAGCCTTGTGTGGAGGGACTAAAGAAATGCGAGAGGGAGGCAGGGAGGGGTCAAGAGAGAGAGAGAGGGGGAGGAATGGGGGAGAGAGGAGAGATAGCTTAAAACACACTGCCTTTATGCTAGGAAAGTTCTGGACGACTCTTGTGACATCAAAGTGTTTTCATTAGCCGGGTAGCCATGGTGTGTGTGTGTGTGTGCGCAGTGATTTTATTCATTCCTCGGCAGTCGGGGGTTCACATGACAATGTGAACACCCTAATTACACCTAATGATCTATTCCCTTAAAGTGTGACCGCCTTTGGCCAGACATGATTTGTTCTTGGGGGTCATTCTCACAACCTCTCCCTGCCTCAGCTGCTCCTTTTTAGGGAAAACTCTTTTCAGTCAGAGGCCCCACCTTTCATGGTACAGGACACCACTGGACTGTCCCTCTTACCTGCGTCCCTTTTTGAACGTCTGTTGGACACATCTCTAAACTGCCCTGCCATTAGGTGGAGTCGGTGCTTCCTGCACCTGGCTAAGGTCACCCACATTTCTAGGAAATCTTTGCCAGAGACAACAAACAGCACAGTATTCCAACGCTGCTGTCAAGAGTGTCACCCTCTAACCTGAGGTCTACTGTGGATGAGAATGACAGCATTAAATACTATTATTGTAAAGGCAATAAACATAAACACAGACAATACCACAGAGTTATTCCTTCTTCTGGAAACTCTTACTGCTGCAGTATCAAACACATCGGCCATTTTCCAAACTGACGAGGTCTCCAAAGTGAACCTACAGTCTACACTCCTTTCCTTTCACTGTTTTTTTTTTATTTATAATATTTTATTCAGGCACCTTGAAATTACAGAAGTGTTGTGTGTGTATGTGTAAACAAGCATGACTACCCACGTCTCACATGTGCACACACTCATAGTCAATTAATGAGACATTAGTAAGAATGAGCGGAATAACAAGCCAAGGTGAGTGAATCGATAGAAAACTTAGACAATCATTACAAAGGCAGCAGCGGTTCTTCCTGGTGACAAAGAGGAGGGGGGGGATTGATTTGTCATTTATTAATCATCTGGTGGTGATGAGGAAAAAAAAAAGTGAGGGACACCCTTGAGGCACACAGTGAGTGGCACTCCCCTGCCATTAAATTCTCCCCGAGGACAATAACAGTCATCAAATATCAACATCTATTTGAGTCGAGCTGGGTTTTGAACTGGCAGGCAGGCAGCTCTTCACAGACAGTCCCTTTTTTTGAACCAAGGTCTTCACCTGAGGACCACATACTTCTCATTCCGAAAATTGTCCTTTCTTTAGCATTTCGTTTACAGGATGTTACTTTTGTTCTTTGCTCGTCAGTAAGCGCACCACTGTCCTTTTTTTCCCTTTAACCAAGGACTTCCAGAGAAGCACACACCAAACATTAGGAACACACTCCTTCCTAATTTCTTCTTTTTTCTTCCATATCATTTTTATTTTATTATAAACTGCACCACACACAGGGATCAAACCATATTCAGTGACACAGTTAAGACAAAGGGATATGGATTAAAAGACAATATACCGTTCACTCTCCCTCCACCACCACTATCACGGTGCCACACACACTCCAGCAGCGCGATGCACAGAAATCGAACGACCGAGAGAAAATAAAGTCACTATTTTGTTATCAAAATATGAAGATGTGACCTTGGGTGAGTAAAGGTAGTGAGCAGAGTGGGGTGGTGATGGAATAAAGAGTGGGGGAGAGAGGGGGAGAAAAAGTACGACAGACGCAAAGTGAAGTGGAGAGAGAGAGTGCTGTGGTTACAATACTGGCTGTATCCATTAGAAAAGTCCTTATACCCTGTATTTTACAGACTCAGCTTTGCCATGGCTACAGCCAAAAAGAAAGCTAACCAACAGAATAGATTTCCTGATGGAGCCCAGGGAGCTATTCAGAAAGCACAGGGAATAAGTCGAACAGGGAAAATAAGTAAAGATACTAAAAGCTTTTCAGACTCATTGGTGATGTTCTGTGTGGCCTCCATGCTGCAGAAATGAATCACTTTAAACCTGATCTTCTGATTTCTTGTTTTTAAGATTAGGATTGACTGTTGATTATTAGGGATGGAATTGGCTTCTGCAGAAAAAAGGGGGTTTCCAACTAATCAGAAGTCAACGGCTAAATAAAGACCTCAGCGCAGGCGTCCAGAGGCAGTGGATTAACCTCTACCACTCTAGTTCAGGTGACAGAGCGGAGAGGTCAGAGCCTTTTCCCCCTACGTTTTAACACCCTCATTCACTCACTATAGAAACACACTCAGGCCTGTGCATACTAGAGTGACGTGCGACGGGACAGACCCACACCCGCAGGACCCTGCAAGCATTAATTCAATCTATTAAGGGTCAGCTAGTTAGCAGGGTGACCCAGCTAAATCACAGTTCAACCTTACAGAACAGGCTGAAAGCACTGCACCCACAAAAACCCCCAGACCCTGAAAACCAGATGGCCTCACAAAGAAGAACATGGAACCCTGAAAGACAGGAGGCAGTGTGGGGTAAAAAGGGACAACAAGCATTCAGAACCTCGATGAGCGTGGATTAGAGAGAGCAGGGTTCTGATGGGAGTAGCTATGGGGTGGGGGTGACTCTGAGGCGCCCCTTGTGGAGTATTAACATCTCTGTTTAAAAACTACAGTGGAGTTCTGATGGCCCTCAAATTGCCCCTGACCTGGGTGATGGAGATAAAACACACTGCCCCTGATACATGTGTGTTTAAGAAGAATAGTCTGCGGTGAATAATGCCATTCTTTACACTTTTAACTACATACCAATAAAAGGTGGAAGCATGTCGCCCTCCGTTGTTGCAAAATGCATGACAAAAAATGATCATGCAATTGATTCATCTGATTATGATCACTCTGAACACATCAGCGGTCATCTCACATGCAGGCAGGATAATTGTGCTTCCTGTTTAAATTGCAAAATAGATTTTAGGCCTGAAATGCCAACTGCGGCCTCGTTTCTCCCGCCTCTCTTCCTCATCCTCCTCATCCTCCCACTGCCGCCTGTTACTTTTGAAATGCAAGCAGTCGGGCCAGTCACTCAGCCTGTCCGCCCACGGCCCATTCACACTACCTGTACGTGCTTGCACAGCTTCCATCTCTCTTTACCTTCTCCTTTCTGTCCGTCTCTCAGTGATCAAAGACAGCTTTGTAACACTAAGAGGTATCCAGGGAGCAGAAAACATCAAAACCAACTTTGAGAGCAACTTTCAAAAAGATGGACAGAGACAGATGGACCGAGACACGCATTCAGAGTGTGTGTTTGTTTGTGTGTGAGGGGGACAAACAAATGAATAAATTAGCCAGACCAGAGAGAGAGATGACTTTGTCTCTACCTTCAGCATGTCCATGAAAGGTAGGAAGGTATCCCTCTGAAGTCCGTTTTTGTACAGATCTGAAAGAGGAATGAAGGGCCTGTATTAGAGCTGCTGTTTAGCCTCCTAATAATGTCATTCCCCGCCACAGATTGGCAAATAAAGTGTCTATTGATGAACTGAAGGATGGGTGGGGGAGAAATGACAAAAGCACAGCAACCAGGGGAGAAAAATGGATTTCTCCACCGGTAGCAGCGGCGGCGGCAACATAAAATTCATTACATTCCCAAACAATGGTGGCGAGAGAAAGGACTGTCGCCTTTTCAGAGTGGACAATGTCCACAGCAGCTCACTGAATAGGGGTTTCAATTAGCTCGGCTGGAACAAATTACATCTGAAGTAGCATCCCTGATAGACAGATAAAACGGATACACACACACACACACAGACAAAGGCACGTACACACACAGGGTTAAGCTCGCTCCAGCTGCAAATGCAAACAAGTGGTTGTGTTTGTTGTTGATGTTTGAGCTAAAGCTTATACAGTAGGAGACGACACACAAATAAACCTCATTCAGTGAATCCCACACGGGTGAAGGACCCAAACCCAAACAAGGACACAAACTTTTTCTTACCATCAGGGAAACAAGAAGAAAGTAAGTTGGTACGGTGCAGTGTGATTTGGGTGGTGACTGCTGCCCATGTGACCCGGTAACGGATAAGCGGATGAAAATGGATGGATGGATGGATGGACATATAACGCATCAAGGTCTCGAGGACAGAAAATGTTTTCCTTCCAAATGGCACCATACCCTGCCACTCATTGTTCTTCATCAGTGCATTAAAAAAACAAAGACAAATTTCACTTCTTTTTGATACTGGTGTCTGCGCGGCAGTGGACAACACGTATGCCTTTCATGTCCGTTTGTCTCTTATGGCTTTCAGTGTTCCATTGACCATGTAATTAATACCAAGTGGGCTCTCCATCAAGTTTACATGGATTTACTGCTTTGTTCTTAATAGTTAGTAAATATCAGAGACGCGCGTCTTTGTGTGCGAGAGCCGTCTCGCTACCAACCACTTTGTACCCACTCAAGGTTTATCAACACCAACATCTCAATGAACACAGACATCAGGCGTCTATCTTCACCTTGATCACCTTGATTACTTGAACTTCTATCAGCCTCACACTGCAGGCAGTAAATGCGACCATCAAAGCGGGGGCAGACAGTTGTGTAATGTCTCTGAAAGCAAAAGCTGTTTGGAAAAGTCCTCTCCTTTTAATTGTTAGCAGTTTCCTGGGTATGAATTGATGCTAAGTGATTTTGGATAAATCCACTGAATGATTGAATGGTGATGATGATGATGTAAAAAAGACCTGTCAAGTGACTGGCGTGTGAATATCACTCACCACTGTGAATGACACACAGAGGCAGGACTGTTTGTTGGACGTGTGTTAACTCGTGAAGTAACTGAAACTGAAATCTGTAGTTTTTTATCTGGATGATAGTCAACACTTTATTAACTTTCAGTATAATGTACAGTAAATCATTACTGGTTTCATTCACAATCCTGAAAAATCTGGGCCAGTAAGTGAAGACAGTTGGTACTTTCTCTACTACACTCCTCACACAGGCTTCTGTAGTATCAACAACAACTTTTTGTAACCTACAATGTATGATTAGACACATCCTAATAACACCTTTATGTGACTTATTTTTAAAAACTCTGACTCTTTTATCAAGTATTATTTTGAGAAACAGACAGTTGTGTGTGAGAGAACTGGTCTTCCTACCGTCAGGAGGTCTGTTGGAGGTGGCCACCACCACCACTCCAGTTTCGAACAGGGTCTTAAACAGCTGCTTCAGGATCATAGCATCAGCAACGTCAGTCACCTGAAAGAAGGCAACCACAGAAGACCATTCACGTACCATATAATTTACTTTTTTGCCACAATGCATGTGCGGAGGTCAAACCATGCTATTAACACTCCATGTTGATTAGTGTCATTCAGGTGTGCTGATTCAGTCCTTTGTGTCTTTCTGTCATGGCCATTCACGCTCTCGCACATCCGTGCACACCTAAACCACTTGAACTGACTGCAAATGGTCACACGGCATCTTTTTGCTGAGGACGAGTAGTGGAGGTAGAGCGCCGGACCACGGCTAATCAACACAGTGGACATGAGAATGAGCGATCCTTGCATGAGAGGAAACCAGAGAAAGAAAATAATAATGAGAAATTGTACAGTGTGGGTCCAGATCGAGGTCGTCATGATCACAAGGTCTCACCGGGTTAAAATACATTCATTTAACCAATTAAATGTCTATTGCCTTTGTCAACTACCTATTGTACTTTTCCATGAATCCTTCATAAACAATGATCAATGACAACACTGACGCAAGGACGTTTATGAGTTGCTGGCTGCTATACGGAGAGCTCTGACCTTTCTTTCAGTCATTCAATGTTCTCGCTTTTGTTCTTCATCTCTCATCTCGTTCGCTTTACCTTTGCTGTTCTTTTAAACATGGATGAAGGGAAACATCACAGTGTCAAATGATGAATGCTTGTCTAAGCAGAGTGCAGCACAGTGAGTAACCATTTTGGTTATCCTCCGAGTGAAGGCCTGAAAGGTGAAATCTAAGCTAATCATGAATCAACCCATAGCTGGCCGATGATTAACCAGGTTGAATTTTTTTTATGTTCCATGTTCCATATTTTTTTATGTTTGACAATTTCACTACAAACAAAAACATTATGTTCCACGTCACAAAGAGTAAATCATTCTAAACTTTTTAAATGAACTTGACAACATGTTTCTGTTCTATGTGGCCTCTGTAGTCATCAGACCTCAGTCTAAGGTCACAGCTGAGATGTGGTAGAACAGGGGGATGTTATCATTAAGGTAATGCTAACAATTTAATGCCAAAAAAAAGTGTGGCAGTTTCTCAAACAAAAGCGTTTCTGACCTTGTAGTAACAAAGTACACCAAATAAGTTCGACCTGTTTGCTGTAAATATTATCTTTTGGTAGACAAATGCTGTGACTAAGTGTCTCACTAAAGGAGGTAAATTTACACAAGTGTGTGTTGAACAAAAAGGAAGACTTTTCAGTCCTGTGACTGCACCGCCTTCTCCTCTTACACCCTCTCACCTATTTTCCCGTACATAACAGCCTCTTCCCCTCGCCCACAGCATATGCCTCCTTTCATACTCTGGAGAGTCTTCTGCTTTTGCTTATTAGCCTCACTGCCCCTGCCAATACTTGATTAACATTTTGTGTTATAGCCTTGATTTGCCGAGGAGAGGTGGCTCGGGGCATCAAATTAGAGTGTAAGTGAGTGAGAGATTGTGTGTGTGTGTGCCTGCATTCGTGTGTGTGTGTGTGTGTGCGTAATGAGAAGCAACAGAAAAGCCAACGCTCCGTGTCCCTCTGAAGGGGGTCCCATTTCCTCCAACCTCAGGATTTTATTTTCATTTCAAAAGAATCATTTAAAAATGACCTTTTATACAACCTGAATTTGTTTATTCATGTGCCCTCAACATGGGCATCATGTGAGAGGCAATATTGATTGCTGAATGAGTGAGGGGACAGGGAGAGAAAATGCGTAGCCACAGAATTAGAAAGGTGGAGGGGACGGATGCCGCACTTGTGGGACACAAAAAATTATGGTGCAATCTCCGTCAGCCGATGCTGATATTTAAATGAGCATCCAATTACTCAAGTGGTTGTCAGTTTACGGCGAGGCACACGGGTGCCAAATTAAACCTCCTTTGATGTTACACCTCTTTATGTACACAACCTATGAGCAATTTCACCAAGGCGGCACACTGACGGAGGCCCTGAGACAATGATGCTCAAGCGCTTTCTTCTCACTCTTCCTCGTCCCTTTCTCACTCTCTCCACATCTTTCCATCTCCAACCCACTCAATGGCGAGTATTCATTAAGGAAGCTGGGTGGGGGCCGTGCAAGGAGGGAGGGAGGGGGTACAAATTACTGATAATGGCATGGCGCTAATGAAGAGAATGGAGAAATGTCATTAGCATTTAAGAGGATAAGATCCATCTGACCCGCCGCCGCCAGTCGCTTTCTAGCTCCACTCACTTAAAGAAGCAGAAGAGCGACTGATACCCAGAGCCTCATTTACATGGCTGAGTGGTGGAGGATGCTGATTGGTATAGACACTGCCACTACCACCACCCCAACCCCCAACTCTCCCCAACCTCTTGTTTATGCATCACAAACAACGCGCACATGTCTCTTCTTGTTTTCCCTCCATTCACCAGCAACTGTTGACAAGCAAAAAACAGCAAAACAAAACAAATCAATGAGAACGCACAGGCGGCAGCGCAGTCTGAAAATGAAGTGAAAGCCAGGCGGATGAAAGGAGCAGCTTTTGATCCTGGCAGATGCACAGGGGTGATTAGACAGAGCAAGCGCACCTTCTGTCACCTCTGACCTGCTGGCATTAACTGTAATGATATCAGTGAGAGGAACAGGGTTTCGTGCTGCAGACACATGTGTTTGGCTGTTGATCAAAGACACTGAAGCAGGTTTGCTCTGTGGCAGCACAACAACAGAGACCTGTGTTCTGTCTCTCTGACTCCAGAGAGCATTCATATCAATAAATTAATGTACAATGTACAACAACAATTACTGTTAACATCTTAAAGTGTTTATACCCGCTACACTGTGGTGATTAGTTTCATCACGATGCCATGCTATATCATGTTTATATAATAAGAATGGCTTTACAACAGGATCTAAAAAGAAACAGACTGGATTCACTGACTGGAGAGAGAATGACTTGTTGCTAACAGCAGTCACTGTATAGGGATACTATACTTGCAATGCCCACTAGATGTCCCCAGACCTGTTTAGTGGGAATAACACGAAATTCAGCTTAGGCAGCCCATATTCCCGAGTGAATTGTCATGGCTTTTTTAATTATGTGAAACAGTTACCAATAAATGACCAAATAGACTGAGAAAATTTTAACATTTGTAAAAAAAAAAAAAGAAAAGAAAGAAAGAAATTTACAACACAATTTCATTCTGATGAAACACAGTAAAGAAGACTGAAGTCCACTGTGTCCAGCATTAGTATATTTACTAAATTTAACAAACGCAAGTGCAAACAGACACTCAGTGTGTGTTACTCGCTTTCTCACCTGAAACTCGTCAAAACACAACAGGCAGGTTTCGCTGCTGATCTCCATGGCAACTGGCGATATGGGGTCATAGGTGAACATGTTCCCTAGCCTTCTTTTTGGCAGCTTTTGTTTCCTGCGATGGATCCCTTTAAAGAAGCACACAAACGTCAGGCACATCTTAAAGCACACCTGCATCTGCAACACAACCAAGCTCCCCACCCCAAACCCTCCAACAATGCTGAAACGGGCAATAATTCCACCTGAATGCATAATGGTAGACAATTAGCAGAAAGGCTCGAGGACAAACACAGAGATAAATATAGGCTCATGGAGGTTCAGAGATGTATAAAGTTATGAAGCAGGAGTAAATGCTTACTTTGGTGAATGTCCAGCATGAAGCCGTTGAAGTGAACTCTCTTTTTTTTAGTGTTTTCCACATGAGAATAAAACAGATCCATGAGCATGGTTTTCCCTGTGCCTTAAAGAAAAGACATAAAGGGAAACATCAAGGTTTTAATAGCATGGAAAATAGAATTTAATAAAATGTGACTGGTGATTATTATATATTTTCAGCATTCATACCAACATCTCCATATATATAGAAGCCTTTTGGTGGTGGTGGATGAAGCTCCTCCTACCAGGAAACAAAATAAATAAAAAGTTACGAAACACAATATGGTTTAATATAATGTTAACTACTTTTACCTGGCTCTGGCCTAATTATAACATATCCTCACTAACTGTCAGCAATGTAGATATTTCCTTGTCATAACAGTCATAACAGGTGCAGGTATAGCTCTAAGTTTTAGTTATCTTGTGTCTAATGTGTTTCTATTACAGCTATCAATAAAAGTTCACTAATCTGGTTAGCTAGTAATCTATCTATCTATCTATATGTATATATAAATGTAAATAAACATTTGTACACTTCTTACAGTAACCATTGTAATGTATGTCACCAAAGAGGCAGTTGACCCTCTATAGTATTTTAAGATTATTAAAACTTAAAACCCTTTAAAAAAAGGTTGTCGACACAGGACCATCAAAATGTAATGCAGATTAATTTGTAGTGATCAAAACAACGCACTTCAGCCAGTGACCCAAATAAACAGTGCATTATATTCATTATGGTATAAGACAGAATCATCATTTAATAAACAGAGTACGCTGAGGCATTAAGCCAGCGCTACAGTGTGAGGTTTATTCTGCAGACTAGCCCACTGCAGGGGAGGAAGACAAAGGGAATCTAATCAACAAGACAAGCCAGGGTTCCCACGAAAGAAAAGCATCATCAGAGGAACAATGGGGGGATTTGTCAGACAAAACTGAGAGGACTGGATGAGGCTCCACACAAGATGCAGTGGACTTGTTCAGTGCTGCTAATTGTGATACGGTACTGTTGCATTGAGGTGCTGCTGGAAGTCATTGTGCTGTCTGCCTCCTATCATCAAAAGAGTCTTGCTTTAAAAAAAAGTCTTGTTTGTGACCAAGATGAGAATACTTAGTAAACCCAGATATCTCTTACGAAGGTCCAAAACCCAGCAAAGCATGAGTCATAATTTTGATTACAAGACATAATGGTAACTATTATATATTTTGCTTTTTCTGTTTTCTGACCCAACTGTATTCTTGAAATTCAATTTAGTAAATATTTTATGGGGACGGTACTCTGTGTCCACTGCACAAGGACTACTTGACTCTGGAAGATGAAGAATTAAAAGCTTATTGAAAACTGCATAACTCATTTCAAGAAAATCCTAAAACACGTGACTGTAGGTCATAAAAGTAACATCTTGGGAGTCTTCTAAATCATCCTCCATCTCTTGCCTCCTCCGTAGTAGATGGTGTGCATTATGGGTAAATCAACAAGTCTTTCCGTGTCTCCTATACTATGACAGTGAATGACTTCTCCCTGACTTCCCAAGCTGCCCTCTGGCATGGTTGAGTAATTGTTAATGATGGCTGGTGGACATTTTGCTCCGGCAGAGTGGAGAAGGACAAGGGTGTCCCTCAAAGCCACTGTCTCGCTGAGCATTGTGGCCTCGTCTCACCTTCTGGTGGAGGAAAAAAAAAATCACACACAAGGGTAAAGTTCACATGCATAACATGTGTTAAAAGCAGTATTTGTATAGTTTAACGACATTTCAAAAGTTAATGCAGCGATGCAGTTAGTCTTATGATACGGCTGACTTGAAGAGTTGGCTCTGTGTAAACAATGGGCCATTGTTAACCAGCCATCCACACAACCCTGCCACATTGGGTCAATATGATGTCAAGTGTACTTTCCTCACAGACTTAGTCAGTTGGCAAGGACAATGGCGGCACTTTCAGAGAAAGCACAGACACCTAAAGGACAGTGGTATGACCTGATTCTAACAAAAACAAGTGTTTAGGTACCAGAGAATGTGTATGTATCTTTGAGAAAGTCAGCTCTAAATATAAGGTGCAAAAGGCCAGAAGGGGGAGGTGTTGATAGTCTGACACCAGTGTCATGGTCCAAATCAAAAGCAAAAAGACAAGAATGGCACAGATAATAGGGAATCCCTCATTACTGCATAGGGATGGTGAGAGAGCACGATTGGTGCCGAGGGGATGGACGCAGCAGGAGGTCTGCACTGCTGCCTTCCAAAATCTGTCCCTAACCCTATGTGTTTGTGCCAGCTAACTCACAACATCAAAAAACACTCCCACCACCAAATACTAGACAGTCAGTCTGACCTAAAACAACAACCGCACCCTACATTATGCTGTTCCAAAACTAATGTGCTTCCCAGACCCCTACCCTCACTTTGACCTGAACCCTATTGCATGGCTTCAGTCAGTGATACAAATGAGGTACAGTGTAGTGAACTCCACAGTCCCTCCCATATGTTGAATGACAGAAGGGCTTAACAACAGAATGAGCGTCCAGCTGCCACACTGTAAAGGCTTTATGCAAAGTTATTCTGTAAATGTATTTGTGTCCAAAATTAAGCTCATTTCATTACATGCAGCATTTTCATTTGAACATGTGTTGGTTAAGCTCATTTCATTACATGCAGCATTGTTATTTGAACATGTGTTGGAGAGTTAGGACAAAGAGTTAGGATTTTTTTTCCATAGATCATGGAAGTGGATTTTGCCATTTACAGTATGTTTGTGTAGAAATGTTCTGCTGGTTATGCAAGTGGTTTGAATATAAACAATCCTAAATAATGTGTGTCCAACACAAAGCGATGTGGCTTGTAATCACATTCCTTATGGTAGGTCCAGTGGTCAGTCACATGAATGACCCACCACTTTGCATCTGTGGCCCTGCTTTATGTATATGTGTATTTTTTATTAGGAACATTATAGGGTCATTTAAATAACTTAACCTTGAGCCTTAAGGGTTTTTGAACAACAGAGATCACAAGTATATGAGCTAAAAATCACAGGATTTTATTTAAAACGAAATGACATTAACATTTATAATACTGATACAATACACATAACAATACCTCAAGTGCTGCAGCAGCCAAGTCTCCTCTTGTGTTCCCTTCTCTGGTAATACAAAGGTCTTCGTCTTTTGGAGATTGACAGGTGACATCTTCAAAGTCAACCAAGGAGCTAAGATACTTGTAATTACTGTAGTTTTTCAGGATCGATTGCAACTTGGCCAGCTGTTGCAGGACATGTCTTTGCTGAGAATCTTCACTCAAGGAACCACAATGAACAAGACGATCATAGTGTCCAATAATTGCAGCAGAGGGAGAAACATCTGCTGCTGGAGGTTGAGATGAACACGATGATGCTGATGAACTGCATGTCATGACACTGGTGTGACCTTGAGACAAATAAGGGGCACATATGATTGAGAGTATGGTGCACAAGTGGATAGAGACATATAATAAATAGGTAGATATATTCATATTAAATTGTGTAAGGTTTTAATATTAATTTATTCATTCATATTAAATAATTATGCATTTTTATTTATTTGTATCTTTAGGGAGGCGTGTAAGAAACATTAACGTCTGTGGGAATGCAAACAGAAACAGAAATCCCCTGCGACCTGCTGTAGAAGCCGTGTATAACACAGTTATTAAATCAGTATTGCACACAACACGACGCAACGAGTTGTAGTAACTACGCTATAACGAGAGGTTTATTACCTTTTCTAAGTAAAATGGTTGACAAACGATAAGTCCTCCTTGGACAATAGGTTGCGTAGTTTAACAGAATCTTCGCTGAGCATCTGACGGCTGTGACGGTTACAGTGGACGCCGCCATGTTGTTTCAAAACCCTGGAAATTTATCAGCGCAACTTGACTTATACTGTACTAACAACAAAAACTGTAAAACAAACAAACAAAAAACCATAAGAACGTGTAAAATTATGGAGTTTAATAAATAGCATCATCAGAGAAGATACTCTCCAGGGCAACACGGTGGGGGGTTTGTACCGCTGCAAATAAATAGTCGCCTTAAAATCAAAACAGAGATGTCCCTCTGGGCTTCCATAGCTTCTTCTCTTAACACAAAAATAATTTTGTTAATAAACTCACGGTGACATGCGTTACACCACTTTTATAAATTGGTAGCTGTGAATATAAATTTCATTTTTAATATTATTATTTTAATATGTAATAGGTTGTTATATTACATTTACTTTTTTTGCTGTTGAGCTCAAAATAGAAAATAGATTAACAATGTGCAAGTAGCATCTACAAATAATATTTGAGAAAAGATGATAAAAATAACAAAAAGGCAAATGCTTGCATATATTTTCCGAGAAAGAGCTCAATCGTTTAATTATTTTTAATTTTTCTTTGTGAAATAGAGTACTTCTCTAAGCATTGTCATTATAGGTTAATAAATACACAATACACTGCGTCTAAGTCCCAAATATTGTTTTGCGATCTTTGAGTAATTATATAATGGGCATTAACCATAGACAATAGAAAATAAACATACACACAAGTATGTTACAAGCTTTGGTAATCTGTGACAAATGTACAAGCTATCTCCACCTATGTGCAGAAAACCCATTTGTTATATATACAATGGATGCAGTGCAGAAGGCTTAAACATTAATTTAGTGTGATGTCCATGAAGACAGCTTGTGTTTGCATGACGTCCACGAGGAAAGGGGGAGGTTAGAGGTCTTTGACTTTGTTAAAATAAATAAAGCGAAAGACGAATAGAACTTATGGCATAACAAAAGGGAAAAACATTTTCTACTCAGGTCTTTCTTATAACTGCCATTTTTAATATTTAAAACGTTTCAGTGATAGTTCTGAGTATGCCTTTGCATGCACAATTTGTGTGCGAAAGCCCTATAAATGTGTAGAAAGCAACAATATCCGAAAGTACATGGTAGATGAGCAGCAGGTATCCTGGCTGTAAGTATCAGGTGAATCTCAGCTGACGGGAAGTCACGGTGACAAACAAAGCCAATACCGGAACAGAGGTAGCCTTATCTTCCAAATAAAATAATTTAAGTAATTTTGAAAACTGCAATAAACTTAAAACTCTATGCAGAATAATTAACCTTATGAAACAAACACAACATCGATGAAAAACGTCTATTCTTCTGTTTTATGGTGTTTCCTTTGACCACGATTGTTCAAATTATCCTTTACTTTGAAAAGCAGCAGCGGAATCACATATTTGTGTTCCGGCGAATTTCACATCATCTGTTGGAAGAAGAGGGCAGAAATGGCTGATACCATAGCTGACACCAGAAGGCTTTACACTAAGCCACAAAACTTAAATGACGCTTACGGGCCACCCAGTAATTTTCTAGAGATTGACGTAAGCAATCCTCAGACCATCGGTGTCGGTAGAGGCAAATATACCACGTATGAAGTCAGACTGAAGGTGAGCGCTAACGATGTTAGCATATCGGTTGGCTAACTGTATTAGCAACTGTTTGTTTGGACGAATGGATTTAAAATTCGTTAACTTAAGGACTGTAGATGGAACGAACATCTAAAGTAACGCCAAATTGTCATTAAAACTGGTTGATGGTTGACTGTTAATGAGATTGTATATGCATCCCAATCAATGCTAGATAGCTAGGAGGTTTATGAAACTTTTGGAAGTAATAACACACGAAAAAATTATATTGCTCTTAATAGCAGCATGGACGTAATTGTGAGTACAATATTTGCTTAAAAGGGATAACGCTCATATTGGCCCTAGTTTGAAAATTAGTTGTTTATGTATGTATTTATACTATATGTTTGTCGGAAACTAACAAGCAAATACTTAAATCAAATGTTTCACAACACGCTACAATTTGTCTTTGCTAATACTGTAAGTTATCACCAATTCTGCTGTAATGTTTACATTTTAGTCTTAACCATTTTACCAGATTTACTGCTATCATCGAAATGTTGAATTTCCAGCATTTCCTAAATAAAGCCAGAAATTTATTACAGGTCTTACATTTATTTTTGACAGATTACCCTTGATGTGTTTTTTTATTTGTACCAATTCTGTGTTGTGCAAGTATTTTCTTTTCTTTTTTTCTATTTTTCTTGTTGCTTTTTTGTAATTGTTAATGTAAAGTAGCCAATTACACATGCCGCATGTGTAGTTATTGGTCAAAGTCACATAAGGTTGTATCACTATAACTAAAGGGGAACATAAGCCGAGAAGTCAACTTGTAACTCTGTAACATTGACAGGATACAGGATGCTCTGTGATATTCTCCGACCTCATGCTCATTCAGCATGTTTCCTTCCTCTCCTCGTTGTTGGGTTGTTAGGTTTATCTTAAACATTTGGGGAAGAAGCGCTGCAGTGTTTGCTGAGTTTGAATTTTGTTATAAAAAATAGATTTTTTTATTAAAGAAGTTTTTACATGACTGTCACCACACACAGATCTGCATTTATTCTCAGACATTTCATTTTCTTCTTTGTATAAATTTTGATATTCAGACAACCATGTGAGTCTGAAATTGTAAGGCGGTCACTTGGACTCGGCTGATTGCCTCATCTCTTATCTGTAGAGTGTAATTTCAGTTAACTGACACCCCTGTAGTTAGTGGTCTGGTGTGTTTAGATTTGTTAGCAGCCTCCATGTATTTATAGTCTCTCTGTACTTTAAAGAAACCGGCTGAGGGAAGAGGAGCCATCTTCAGGCATTAGCACTGAGTGTAAGGCTACTACAGGTGATTAGTGTGTAATAATTAGCATATGCGTGTAATCAGTATTATTGTGCACCTCATAGCCTTCTATGACCCTGATTTGCATAAGACCATAGAAGTGGCGCATCCCTCAGTTCTCAACACTCACAGTGTCAACTTTACTTTGCTTCTCTCGTTCTTTTTTCAGAAGAATTTCTTTTCATTAGAAGCATCAGGCAATCTTTTGTCTGCAAAATGAATCTGTTTTGTCCAACATTGGCACAAAAACCTGGTCTGACATCAATTTTATATTGATTAAAAAATCTTGATTATTTATTATGATTATACATTATTGATCTTTTTTTGCCAATAGCAATATGTAACACAAAAAGCAAGCATTTTCTTTGGTTGATAACTGAAACTTTTAGCATTTACGCTTACGCCAGCTTCTATGTAGCAACATGTTTAGAGTTAATACTGTAGGCTGAAAGCGCTTCTGCCTAAAAATTTGAACTTATTAACTTAAAGTTGATGTATATTATTTATAACACTTGTAGAGTTCTTTTAAGTCTGAGTTTTTTAACTGGGCTGTGTGGTGCTAAATTTATCAGATATCAACAGATATCAATTTTAACTCTTTTGTTCTTTTTTTTTCTTCTCATGTTTAGAACTGTGCTCAAAAATGATGATCCAGTTTTGCTATACAGGTTCTGTTCATGACCTATTCCCATGTCCTGTGTTCTTATTGATGTTCCGCCATCCATCCGAAACTGAGAGAGGGAGAGCCCTTGTGGCCGCACAGACAGTCAGCCTAATCCCTTCATTGATAGAATAGAAGAATAAAACAGGCCAGGCTATGGGGGAGTTGGAGTGTTTATTCTCCGTCCTTAGTCCACACCCCCTACCCGTGGGAGGGCAGAAAGCCACCCCCTCATCCCTTAACCATCATCCTTTTGCCTACTTACCTCAGTTAATTCTTATTTATAAGCAGTTTCCTAGTCTTTCTCTTTTTATTATACATGTTTTATACTGTATACATATCTTCCAGTTTACGTAAGTTTTAGTTTTGCATTACCCTTGTGACTCCTCATTGTCTTTATAACGCTTGAGCTTTTAAACAAATAACATGGTCCGGATTATTGTGTGAGAGCACGTTACTTGTTGACAACAAGACCTGCCTTTGGCTGTCAAGCTCCGTCAGATCCATACGGTTGCCTCAGTCAGGTTTTTAAAGAGGTCGAAGGCTGATTTCATTCACTGTGAAGTTCATTCAAAGGAGGTAGACATTTTGCCTGAGCAGAATTGCAATGTCCAGGGTTCAATTGAAAGAATGGATTTTTCTTGTCTTTTATATCTGCTGTTTCTGACTTAAAATTTAAATATTTAAATCACACATTTTCTACTGTAACCACAATGTCCTTAATGCCATACAGTAAAGTTGTGTCTAATGTATCCTTATGATTCCATGGGCATAACTGGTTAAGAACCCGCTGAACCACTGTAGTGTACTTCTGTGGTCTGAGAGAATAGGAGGAGGGTGGGTTTGAGGAGTATGATCAAAATTTCTTGTCTTTACTTCGTTCCCATCTCCTCTAGAATGCACTTTCAGGGGAGTGAACTTTGGGATCTTACTTTGTTTATGGATAGGAGTACATAAAAGGCCTCTTATAGCTCTGTCTCTCACTCAGTCTTCTGCCCCTCCTCTTCTCTACTCCCATAGCTTCTCCCGCTCTCTTTCTTTCTCTTTTACCATTTGGGCATTGGAACAGGGGGCTTTGGTCATTAATAAAATGGAGAGAGATGAAGAGTGGGTATGTGTGTGTGTGTTGGGGGGTGAGGGTGTGCTTGTCAGGCACAGTCAAGTGTAATCCAAAGTCTACAGCATCCTCTTCGACAACTATTTTAATGGAAATGGGGAACATATTGTATCAAGGCTACCATATCCTACTTGAAATGACAGTATCAAAAGTGGGAGTTGATACTATGGCAACAAAGCAGCTTTTTGCCAGCTACGCGAGTCCCGGCTGTCAGGCCACAGGGGCTGGTAAGCAAGGCAACGAGTGAGAGAGTACATGGAGAGGCGAGAGCAAAAGACCCTTAGCCTTTACGCTTTTGTTCCCAGTATTTTTTCCCCATTTTGGAATATGATGCAATGAGATGGCATTATGTTGCCATTTTAATGCTGTTATTCTCAAAGGGTAGAGTATGAGAGGGGTAAGAAAGGGCATGAGCAAGGTTTAGGATGCGCTTTCTCAAACTTGACTTAATCCATCCTGCTAAAAGCTAATGCGTGGTTGCCTTGAACTATTCTCTCAGGAGATGAGTGATCTTTGTCCCCTCTCTCAGGTCTCTCTCTGTCTGGCTGTTTTAAAGGGTTTTGCCTCTTTTCAACCTACTTTCAATAAGCCTAAGGCATTGTGTCCCTTACATTATGAATCACACACTCTTCCCGTGAAGCGTAAATTGCACCTTTACACGAAAAAATGAAAGAAAAAGCTAGGATCTCTTTTTTTTTTTAAATCTCTACATATAGCTTTATGCTCTTTCTTTTAAGAGACATAGATTTATATGAATATTTGTTTCCTGTTGTCAATATAACCAATTATTTTTGTATTTGTGTTGATTTGGCATTTTTATTTATTTTTTATTTTCCTTTACCCTCTATATCTTTGTTACTTGATTCTCTGAGAAATGTGAGAGAGGCAACGTGTGCCTTTTTAATCAATTAATTAAATGCTAAAACATGGCAAAGTCCGGGTTGGTCCCTTGTTTCAATCACTACAGGGGCCAGTAAGTTGAGACACCAGGCCCTCGCCTTTAAGCAGCCATGAAGAGAACAGAGGCCAAGGAAACTTGATCTTTGACTCGTAGAGCTCTCACGCACCGCCTCCTTCTAGGGGTGTGTGTGTGAGAGAGATTGGGAGAAACCGAGATTGAGACCTCTCATTTTTCAGTTCTGTCGTTTTCGATCCTCCCCTTGTCCTGCAAGGCCAATCTCTTAATCACAGGGTTGGAGAGAATTGAAAGGCCAGGTGACTTTCTTTCCTTACACTCTCCCGCTAGCTTCATTGTATGGTGTCTGTTCTTCTGGGAGTATACAACCAAGCTTGAGTGCATGGGGCTATTATTTTTTCCGGTGCTATCTGTATGACTGGTCAAATCTTTACTACTTGACACCTGTTCATATACACCTCACGTACGTCAGAGCGTGCCTGCGCACGGATAAGTGTTTTCTATGTGCACGTGATGGGATTAGAGTCACAGGGGTGGCAGATTACCTGTAACTGTGATCTGTTGTGGTGGGGATTAACTTTGTGGTGCTCCATGCTGTGGGGTAACATGACGCAGCAGGGAGAGTCTACGGTGAGAGGAAAGTGAAGTTAATACCAAAGCACTGAGGCGATAAAGCTAACTTAATCCACTTCTCTGGTGACCTGAGAAAGAGGAGGAGCAACAAGCTCATTGACAACTTCACCTAGGGAGAACTTGAAAATTGGTGGTTAAGGCAAGGTTTTGGGACTGTTGAGTTTCATTAAAAATGCTGTGGGAAACAGGGATTAGCAGAAACAAAGGAAGTCTGAGGGCAACAATGATGTTAAAGTATGGAAAAATAAGGGTCAAGAATAAGTAATTTTAGTTCTTGTTCATATTCAGTGAGTGTTTATTATGCTGACAACAAGTACAATGAAGGAATTAATACAGTTAATACAATAAAGTATTAATTAATACAATATTTTACCTTAATACAATAGTTTACCTTAATTAATAGTTTATCTTTTCCGATACATAGCCTTTTTTTTCTCTACCGCATATAATAATTTTGGTCAATTTTTTAGTTTTAGTTTTTAATTCCATCATCTATTTATGCAACTTTTGTGTTTATAACAATGTGTTGAAATGCATGTTTTCTTAGAGTAACTGCAAAAGTTAGAGCTTTGCAAAAGTAGTTTCTCAGTCAAACAAAACCTCACAGCCATATTGACATGGTGATCATTTAAACCTTGCTATAGTTCAGGTAAAGATGGAGATGGAGTGATCAACAGTTTAGAAGACTGACAAGAAGGCAGGGCAAGGAGAAAAGAGAAGAAATGGCTTTTTTTTTTCATTAAAACACCACATGAGACTCAAGGGCAGAAGATCTGACTTATTATGACAGAGCAAGAGAAATAAAGAGGGGGAAAAAATAAAGAGACTACGAGTGCAGAAAGAGCACTCCTTCCCTCTTCCTTTCTTAGTTAGTGCTGCACAGACTGGATGAAGCATCCAACCTCTGTATTTTCTTTTTTTTTAGACCCACACTCCTCTTTTTTTGCCCAGCCATTTACTCAGCCTTCTGGTTAACTCTCCATCTGTTCCTGCAAACACTCATCGATCCGTCTGCTGCTCACACTGTATTCATGCAGCACCTACTTGCTCGGTTGCCTTGCTCTCATGCTTCCTCCTCCTCCTCCTCCCATGAATTCTGACCTTCTCCGAATGTTTCCTGCCAATGAAATGCTCATTCACTCTCTCTGTGTTTGCACATTGTCATGGGATGGCCATGTGCTGCCAGGACGGGTGAAGAGCTTTGGCATTGTGCTGTAATGTGCTGTTTGCTTCAGTGTTCTCTGTCAATGTCGAAACATCTCCTCGTTTTTTTAATACAAAATTCACTCTCGAGTGCTAGTCAATAGCGACTCAGAATTGCACGCACATCTGTGCACTGGTACACACGAACACACCGGCACAGCGGAAAGAAAGGCAAAACATTCTGGGTCCAAAAGACCTTGGTGCGCAAAACATAAGTGAACTTTGTCTGGAGGCCAGTTTTAATTTTTCTATTCAGTTGGGTCCTGAAAGAATCATTGTTTCTTTCTTTTCCCCCCACTTCTTCCTTTTAATAAAGTCAGAGTAGGTAATACAAGGCTATGCACAAAACCAGTTTAATAAAGTAACTTTTCCTTCAACTTGGATTGAACTTGCATTTAAAAAGGTACATTAGTAACTGCTGTTTTCCACTGTGGCTATTGGCAAAGTGATGCAGTTCAGTCATTGAAATATATTTATTTATTTATTTTGTTGACAATGATTCTCAAAAGTCCGCTTAACATGGACATTAGAGCACACAAAGTTTTCAGATTGGTAATTCCACACAAAAAACAATTAACAACGTATTAAGAGGTGGGCAACGATTCAAATTTGGAATTGTTATTAATGACATGATTTTGAATATGAATGATCATGATTAATCTGCATAATTCAACGATGATTTAACGTTCGTTGATAATGTTTATTTTTAAACTATTTTTTAAAACTATATGAACTCACGTTTTTTTTTTTTTCGGCATATTGATAATCGGAAAGTATTATTTGAATGTTGTTCCCTGTCATTGTATTTTTTAATTAAATGCTTATCTGAGATCCTCTCCCAGTTATAGTCATACTGTTTGTCATACGTCAAAGACGCTAAAGATAGAGCATACCTTAAAAACCAAAGATTTTTGCATGATTGTTTCCATGTCTGTGCATTTAATTAAAAATGGAAACTGGCTCCCCTTTCAATGTCAGTCTGGAAATAGTGTGATGCTGCTCTTTATGCCATGCTTATTAAAACTTATACGTTTTTACCAGATGGAATTTGGTTCAAAGTAACACCCCAGTCTGTCATGGCAGTCACAGATTTAACATTTTGTCGTTTCCTTGTGCTTGTCCACAGACCAACCTACCCATCTTTAAGCTGAAGGAGTCCAGTGTTCGAAGGCGGTACAGTGATTTTGAGTGGCTCAGAGCGGAGCTGGAGCGAGAGAGCAAGGTGAGACACGGATGGTGGCAGCACAAAGCAGAAGTGAAGTACTGGACTTACCAAATTCATTGCACAACACTGATCACATTGGCAGTGCCTTGGAACAGAAACCTTTCAAACTAGGTGGAGAAACTCTTACTTTCAGTTCCCTTTGTGTTTGTCGCTCTGATGCAGCGTATATTTAAACTGTGCAGTATTTAGACTTAAGTAAAGCCATTCAGCAGTACCTTTACATATTTGCAGACATCCTCACAGTTACTGGCTTTCGTCCGTTGGGCTCAAAGATACCAATACTAGTATAGATATAGTTTATACCACCACTAATGCTTGCTTCTATAGGCTGAACCTTTGGTTGATGCTCCTCTATTACCGAGTTTTGACCTCTAGACTTACTGCCAGTTAATCTAAATGACAAAGCCTTGTGTGTTATTTAATGACACAAATGAAACATCTGCCATTTGTTACATTAAGGATTGCATTATTCTCCAAATAAAAAGTAATAATATTAATAATAAAGTGCTGATCGACCTCTGTAATTCTAGGTGGTCGTCCCTCCGCTGCCAGGAAAAGCTCTCATCCGACAGCTTCCGTTCCGAGGGGGCGACGGGATTTTTGAAGACTCTTTTATTGAGGAGCGAAGACAGGGTCTGGAGCAGTTTCTCAACAAGTGAGTTTTTTTTTATCTTCTTTTCTTTCTTTTTTTCCTCCACTCATCTCCTACTTTGTCTTGAGGTTAAAACAATTTATTCCTTGCCGTCTTTGTCTGTTACATCCACAGTCATTTGTTGCCTGTGGCTTCCCAAGTTGTTATTTTAATTCTCAAGAACAATGAAACACTTTGCGCAATAAGTGGATTCAACTTTTTCACTTTTCTGGTTGAGAACAAACCAAGACCAGCTGAGACATGTAGGTCTTTCTCTCACTCTCCTCCTTAATTCTCTCTTATAATTGCTTCGAGGAAGGACAATGGTAACTTAAGGAGAACTCAAGTGCGCACCTCACAACATAATTTTTCCCACATTTGTTTTATTGTTGATGTGTAATTTATGGTAATTGCAGCACAAATTACAGCGCGTGGTTCCGCAGGATGGTGCGTGCACCTCTGCTTATTTTTGAACCAGCCTGTCCCCGTTTTCAGCTGCTGAACAATAAAAGTTACTGTGCAATTGTAATTATTTGCTTTGATTGCAGACTTGGTCATTATCTTTGTTTCATGTGCAAATGTGTCAATGTTTCCCATTGGAATATTAAGTGCGCAAAGACAGTCGAGAAAATAAAAATCCATAAATGTTTTATCGTTTTTTTTTTTTATTCTCACGAAGATGAGACTCTGTTGGCAATTACGCTC